TCAGAAAGAATAGCAGGGACTGAAGTAGGATCTGAACTCAGATCATCTACCTTCAGGGCCAAAGCCCTAACGGCTGACATTCTACTCATCTACATGATAAGCCAACATGTCCCCTCCATCACATTTCCCCTTTCTTCTTTCCCCCATCAATTTCTTCCTCTTTAATTCCTTGTCTTGAAATATATATTTCTCATTCATTCATTCATTCATTTGTTCACTCACTCACCTACTCATTAACTGTAACTTTCACTGTCTCAGCACAATGGCAGACAGTGGAGAAAATATCAAAAGGAGGAACAAGGACATGAGTTTGCAGCTGGAGAGACGGCACAGCTGTTATAGGCTAGGCTCACAACCAGAAATACAATAACAGAGTATGTTGGCAGGGGTATGGTTGACAGGAGGACTTCCTTTCTGCTCTGGAGGCTTTGTCCAATGCAGAGGGACTCTCTCTCTCTCTCTCTCTCTCTCTCTCTCTCTCTCTCTCTCTCTCTCTCTCTCTCTCTCTCTCTCTCTCCCCCCTTCTCTCTCATGACATGATGATGTGCTTGGCCACTCTCTGTGTAGCCCTCCTGAGAAAGGAGGAGGAGCATGCTATGGACAGGGAATCATGCAGAACTTTGCCTCATAGACTTTTCCCACGTCTCCTTTATCTCAGGAGACAGTCAGACACAGGAAGAATCCACTTTGTTCCTCTATGTCATTGTCAGGGCAGAACCAGCCCTCTAGGAAGGAGTCTGACTTCCATTACTTCAACATCAGTGGTGAAAATCCTTTCTTGGTTTCCATGTGGCCTAATCTTTGTCTTAATTTCCCATTAGTTTGTTGAGTATTATTAATTGGGCTTGCTGAATCCCTTAACAAACAGTGCAGAAGAACAGTGAGGAATCCCATGTGGACCCCTGGTATCCTTTGACAGTGTCTGATGTCATAGAGTCTAGAGGAGGGAGAAGAGGTTGGGGTGGACTTAGGAAAGGGTATGAGTCTTGGATACCTTTACTCAAGACATAGATTGGTCTTCAGGGTGAAGAAGGCTTAAAAAGCTAAGATGTTGATACAAAGCTGTTGTTGCTTCAATTCAGAGCCTCGAGGCTTCCAAAGTTTGCATATTTTTTGCACAGTTTTATGGATGTCCCCCAATAGTCATGGGCATTTGGCTACTTGGGGGAGGATTGGGAAATGTGGCGTTACTGGGGGAAGAATGTCACTGGGGCTTTAAGGTTGCAAAGGACTCAAACTATTTTGAGTTAGCTCTCTCTAGTTTCTGCTTGTGGCTCAAGATGTAGGCCTTCAGCTCTCAACCTCTGGTCCAGCCACATTTCTACTGCCATTATGGACTTTAACCCTCTTTATCTGTAAGGCCAAAATAAACCCTTTCATCTATAAGTTGCCTTGGTCATGACATTTTATTACAGAACAGAAAAGTAGCTGGTGTATCCTGGAAAGCTTATATAGGACACCAAGGATGACGTCAAATGTCCAGGGTATTCACAGTCCTGCAGAAAGTATAGAAACTATAGACACAAGTAAGTCTAATTCTACTGTGCCAGATCCCAAACATAGGCTGCCTTAAAATTACCTGAGGACTTCAGAAAAAGTACATATGCCCAGTTGCTATCCCTGGAGAATCTGAGCCACTGGTGCTATGATGGGGTGTGTGTGTGTGGGGGCATTTAGATCAATATCTGAGGCCGTTAGGTCATGAGGTTTGGTATATTATAGCTGATCACCTGGCGTTATTCTCCACACTCTTACCTCCCTGGCAGTCATTTCCACAGCACGCATGACTGTGGCCCTCGTAGATCTCATTGCCTCTATTTGCACTGAGCACCACACTGGGAGCAACCCCGGAGCTCTTCCAACTGTCTAGCCAATGTTTCTCTCAGCTCCTAACCTTGTTAGAAAGCTCTAGACCCATCTCTGCTTTTGCAGACACATTCAGCTAGTGGCTCCAGGCTCACCTTGGAGCTGACTCCCAACTTCCCCACTTATGACTCAACAATTGCTGTTCAAATACCTCTGGCGTGACTCAACTTCTCCTTTATTGCAATGCACGACAAACTGCATACAAGTAAAGCTGAAATTTGAAGACTTAGAATTTTCTATTGCATTTATTTTTTATTTTTGGTGTGTGTGTGTGTGTGTGTGTGTGTGTGTGTGTGTGTGTGTGTGTGTGTAGGTCAAAAGACAACTTGTACGGGATGGGTCTTTCTTTCTACCATGTAGGTTCCAGGTCCTTGGAGAAAAGTGACTTAACCTACTGAGCTTCTTGCCAGCCTGCAATTTGAAGGGTTTGGGGCATGCGTAAACATCCACAAGACTAGCACCACAGTCAAGACACAGAGCAGACCTGCAGTCCCCAGAGCTTCTGTACCTTTGTAATCCCAAACGTGCTTTTCAAAATCACCCTGTAATATTCTAGTTCACATGCACACATACATGTGACTACACTTAGTTCTTATCACTTCCCACTGCCCTCTCTTCTCCTCGTTAGTCCTCTTCTTCCCTCCAAACACTTGCTCCAGCTTTCAGGCGGTGTATTTCCCGTCAGCCTCTCTTGTTGCCCTTCCTTTCATCCATTAGACCTCTTTCTCCCTTCTCATGGTCCCCTTCCTGCTTCCAGGTCACATATACATATATTGTCATATACACACATGTCTATATAGATTTAAATAGTGTTTCCAAAAGAGAGAAAATATGAGGTATTTGCTTTTTCTGAGCCTGGTTTATTCCGCCTTAACTGTGATATCCAGATTCATTGATTTCCAGAAAACATCAGGATTTCATTCTCCTTTATGGCTGAGTGAAGTTCCCTTGTACAATGAACCATATTTTCTTTATTCAGCTCTTGATGGGCCTCTGGTTGGCCCCATATCTTGGCTGTCATGAATAGAGTAGCAATGAACTGCCTGGCTGTTTTGGACCAGTGGTTCTCACTTAGTTTTGTTACAATTCAGATACTTGTTGGTTCCTCATTCTATCTACCATCATTCAAGGGCTCAGTTTCAGACACTCTCCTGACCCTGCTCATTGACTTAGTTTCTCCATAGAATTGACTGAGCCCTAGTCCTTCCTGCTCAATGATAATGGGTACAGTTAACTTGTCTTGCATGTGATAATTTTTCAGATGGTGCTTCACTCAGGGTGACTATTACAAGTTTACTGACAATAACTTTCATTTACCTAGCAGCTATGTCTCATTTCTATATCGTGTGTAAAATACATAATTGTATACCAGTTGCCACACTAACCCCATGAAGAAGGGCTTCGTTTCTCCATGCTGCCCTTAAGAAATGGCCCGGCGACTGATTTTCTAAACTCAAGATACACGATGTCTGTATCTTCTGCTATACAGTTTAGCTCTCACAGACACTGTTCCTCTGAAGTTCACTGTGTCTCTCATTACAAACTCTCCTTGTTCAGTGGACTGTACTTGAGATAAAATAGTGTTCTCCAGATTCGAAGTCCCTCACAACTTGCTATGATTCTCTATTGATCTTGTTTCCAGTAGACAAGTAATTTTAGCGATTTCATAGGCAGTGTGTATTTCAAATAAATATTGCTTGACTGCCTTAAAAGCCTCCTGACGTGGCTGATTTCCAAGCTGATCACAGAGAGGCCTGTGTTTGCCTTGGCAGGGGATGGCAAGGCAGGATAAGGCCTCCTAATCCCACAGAGATGATGTGTGGACTCGGTTCTCCCATTCAGAATTTATTTATGTCAGACTCAAATCCGCAGAACATTTGATATGGTTTTAGCATTTTCTTCCCACGAACAGTGATTTTCTTGGTTAAAAAATAGCTAGAATACTATAGACTTGGCAAGGATTTGTTTTTCAATAGTAGCAAAGATGTTACCTAACGTCAAAGTATACTTTAACCCTAAATGTAAAACAGTATAAATGAAACATCAAAGATTTGGGAAAGATGGATGGTGGCATCATGACACATTTTTTTCAAGATGTGCAGAGCTACTTTATTTGGAGTGGTTACCTGGTACTACTTCAGTGAAAGTGGGCGCATGCCCTACAGAGCCCTGTGCCTGCTTCGCTCTAGGGAATGATCTGTTTCTGGGTGGTTCGTTTCCCTCCAGGCTCCCAGGTCAGCCCTTCCATAGGCTCCACCCATGTTCAGAGAGCTCCCTCCCCTCAGCAGCTGTAGATTCCACGGGTTCTTGCGGCTTTTCCCAGACAAGATCCTTTTCGCATCTATTCATTCCTTCAGCAGATGTTTCTTGAGTACTTCCTATATTTGAGATGCGGAGGGTACAATAGTAAACTCCAGAGAAGAGAACTCATGAAGATTATATTGGAGTGGGGAGGCAGGCAGACAGCAAAACAAATCAATAAGTATATGTAGTGCCCCATGTGTTGATAAGCAAAGAGGAAAAATAAAAGAGAGATGGATAGGGAGAGAGAGAGTGTGCGTGTGCGTGTGTTTCTAGAACACAGTGCTAAAGACTAGAGCTTAGGAGACCAAGGATGTAGCTCACTTGGTAGGGAAGCCCTGCTTTTCAGTTTCACCGTGCCTGTAGCCCTAGTACTTGGGAGGTGGAAGGCAGGAGGGTCAGAAGTTCAAAGCCAACCTTGACTGCCTAATAAATTGAGGACAGGTTGGGCTGCTTGAAACCATCTCTTAAAGTTAATAAAAATCGGAAAAACTAGAGCATGTGTTCTTTTCTTTTATCTTTTATTTTGCAAGCGCAAAAGACAGCCAAAGGGAAGCAGAAATGTTGGAGAACGAGTACAAGGTGTGTCCCCTGATAGCTGCTGCCTGGGCCCAAGAGCAAGTGATCTCCACACACTGCAGAACTGGCTCCTGATTGGCCACAAGAGCAGAGGTGCCCAAGCCACTATAAAAGGAAAGGACTTTCAGGTTTCTACATCCCTCAGGGTATTAGCTTCAAAACTGTGGGCTGTCCCTCCGTGGGTGCCAAGCATACCCTGTGCCATCCACTACTTGGCATACGTAGGGAAGCCTGAGGTGTGAGGCAGGAGGCATATGGTACGCCACGTAGGAAGAACCTGCCAGGTTGTGCCCACACAACCCTGGTGGGAGCCCCCATGCGGTCAATGTTCTGTGGCAATTGGAGCAGAATAAGAGGCAAGAACTCTGGGAACAGGGGAAACCAAAAGGATTGGAGGTGCTGCAGATGAAGTATAGGGTACTGAAGCGGAGATCTGGGGAAGGGAACTCATCAAAATGATATTTAAACGTAGGTCAGCTGCAGTGCGATTGTCTGAAGTTGGAACATCCAGGGCAGAGAAGAGCAAGAAGAAGCGCAGTCTAATGAAAGCACACCCGGCACGCTCAAGGGATGGAGGCAGGGGATGCTAGGCCAGCAGTAGAGGTGCGAAGGTGAGGAGGATGGAAGGGAAGGATTCTGGGAGAGCCGCTGGGGGTCCGCTCGTGTCAGGTTACAGGCTGCGAGGGGAAGTACGGTCAGACTCCAGGTGAAGAGGCGCGGGGCAGGGGCAGCTCTGGCAGATGTTTGGTATGACCCAAATGGCATTCGAAAGGCCCACTTTGGGTTTCTGCATGGAGAAGAAGCTAAGGAGTCCAGGGACAAGCTGGGAGACCATAACATGGCTGCTTGGTGTTCAGGTGAAAAAGCCTGGGGACCTGCCTTGAAGGGTGGCGGTGGCTGACAGGTGCTCTACGGTGGCAGAACACAAGGATCACCACCAGGACTAGAGAGACAGGGTATGGGACCACAGCAAGGTCGAAGAGGTTTCCATGGCTATTGTTCTGAACAGCTGGAGGAGAGGATGCCATACGAGGAGGATCGTGGGAAGAAGTTTCCAGGCAGGTCCATCGCCGCGCATCCTCGGTCACTGACATGGGAGGTGCCAAGCGGGTTGGGTAGCAGAGACGTACGGGCTAGAGATGGGGCTCGGGGATCACCAGCACAGTTAAATCTACACATCCAGGTGTGAGGTGGCAGAGCAGAGAGGTGGAAGGCTTGAGTTAAGAGGCTCTAGAGCAGAAAAGAGAAGGGAAAATAGCACCGAAGAACAAGTTGCTAGACAGGTGGAGAGAAGCAAGGGAGGACAGGATCCTAGGCACAAGTCAGAATGCTTCCAGCGTTTGCTAGTCTGAAATACACACGCTACAGGTCTGTGTTTGAAGTGTCTCTCAAAACCCTCTGTAAGACTTGGCCCACATTTAGAGCTATTTAGAGATAGTAGAAACTTGAAGGGGTGGAGCCTGGTGAAATACTTGTAGATGCCTCACAGGGGGTTGTCATACTAGAATCTCTTCATTTTTCATGTGTATTCGTATGTGGGCACATATGCATGAATGTATGAGTTTTGGTCATCAGGCAAGTGCTTTTTGAAATTAATTTGGGGGGCTCATCTGGGATAGGTTCCCATCATTCAGCCCAGACTGGCCGTGAGCTGACGAGCCTCCTGCCTCGACCTCTTGAGTGCTGAGATTACTGATATGGATGCCATAACTGCCTAAAAACTTTCATTTTTCTTAGTTTCCTATGTCAGGGAATCTATAAAAGTTGGCTCTATGCTGAGGTTTCAACCTCAGTTTCCTTAACTGCAAAATACTAGCAATAATGTTTTTCTTTGACAGTAGTTTTTAGACGATTCCACCAAAAACTTCCTAAGTAACTATGTATTATACAGAGTGCTCTGTGTCCTGTTGCCTATGTCTCTGATTCTCTTCTCTCTCCCTCTCCATTATTTCTTTGCCTTTTCATTTCTCAGTCTTTTCTTGTCCCCTTTCATCCTACTTTTATCTCTTCTTGTGGAGGAAGTAGTTGTTTTAGGTCAGAGTTTTGCGTGGGAAAACACTGCTTTAACCGTGTAAAAGGAGACGTTAACTGGACTTTCTTCTTTCTGACTTTTGAGTTTTGGCCAAGGATCCAAAGGCAGAGGACAGTGAATGATCCACCATCAAACATTAACCAAGAAACCTGAAGCATAGTTGATGGCCCTTAGCTTAGCTCACCTTGGGATTAAGAAATCCTGAAAATACTCAGAAGGGCCGGGTTTCGTGGGAAAACATTCTCAGACACTGGGACATTTCTTGGAAAGCTAAGTGAGAATGACTTCGAGGGGACCTCTCAGAGATGGGCCACGAGTCTTTGGGATACTTTCAAGATTCCATAAACTGGCTTCTCACATCTGTCCATAGATCTAATGGCTGGAGCTTAGCTGGACGACTGGGCAGGGTTAGTGTAGGAAAAGGCGTGGCAACGAGCTGAGAACTCAGGGCTGTGCTATCCCAAGACCAAAGTGTAAGGCATCTTACAGAGCATTGGACAAAGGGTTTACTGGGGATGGTAAGGCAGCCCCAGCTATGGGTCAGGGATCGCTGGATGCATGAATGTCACAATAGCATCATGAGAAGGTATCGCTCAAGTTAAGAGACACGACTCTCCTGGACAGGGACTTCAAAGTTAGACACCCTAGGTTCAAACTCCGCTTTGTCATATTCTAACTGAGGATCATGAGGCACCATCTCTGTGTGCTAGTCCTTGACTCCCTTGCTATGTAAAGTCCAGGCATAGGAAATATCAATTCTAGACAATGAACGGCCATGCAGTTCTCTGAAATGTTTTATTCTCCTCCTTTTTGCCAGGGGCTTAAGCCTTCTGTGAGCTGGAGGGAATGTTGGGAGGAAACAGGCTTTCTTCAGAAAAAGATGCTCAGGTCCCATCTTCTTCTACACCTTCTCTCAGCCAAGTTTCCACTGTAAGGCACGCTCAAGTGAGAGAATGGGGAAGCTTAAGCAAACACTCACGAATTAATGCAAAAAGGTGGATAAGACATTGCAACAGTCTAGCTTGTGGCTGTCAGTACCTGGTATGCTGGATTACACTGGAAACGCTATAAAAACAGTCTGAATATCACTGAGGTAGAAAGGGCCGGGGACACTGGAACTTGAAGGGTCAACTGACCATGTCTAATAAACTCAGTGAACAAATTCGAGCTTAAGGATTGCTTGGAGCTAGCTTTAATTGCTTCCAATTCTACCCAGAGGCCTTGGAGACAGAGGCATTCCCTTTAACCTTTTCACTGCCAAGACTGGGAAAGCAATGGTACTATATCTGGGCTACTCACTTCTCTTCTATGACATGAAATGTTGGACTTTGCTTTTGGGGACACCAAGGTCCTTGCGCCCACTGGTTGCTAGGGAAACAAGGGATGGTAAACACACAATGGGCTAACCTGCCTCCAAACTGCGAGCCAGAGTAACCTTTCCCTCTTTTAAGTTGGCTGTTTTGCGGGTTTTGCTGCAATAAAGGGAAACTAAATGATGCAGAAATCCAAACTGGCAGAAAGGCTCTTAAGGTTTCTCTGAGTGTGATTCAGATGAAGCTACGTTTCCGGCTGGGCACCATCTCAGGACACACCCGGACTTCTCACAGAGAGGTAACATAGCAAAGAGAGATGGGAAAGGGCTAGAGTTCAAATGTCCCTTCAAGGTCATGCTCCCTAAACCCAGACTACCTTCTACCAGGCCCCATCTCTTAAAGGCTTCACCATTCCCTCCCCGCCTCAGGCTGTAGGCCAGGTCTTTACAACATAGGCCGCTGGGAGCCTTTATCATGTAAACTGTAACTTTTTCTTAAAAGAAAAGAGTCGCTGTCATTCTGCCAACTATTGAAATATTTCTGTGTTTTCCCGAGTCCTTATAATTCCTTATTCTTGGGTGCTTTCTAATTTCATTGATCATGAGTTTGTAGTCCCTGTGTTTCCATGTTAGCCTCCACAGTTTGAAATCCAGCTAAAATCTGGAGTTGCCCTGAACTACATACTTCGCTTTGCTGACTGTTCGTGTATTTCTGCTCAGCAAATAGCAGCTACCAGCTGTGAGTAAAATATGGAGCCAGTCCTCTTGGACCGACAAGGGGGACGGTCTTCCTGCAGGACAGATGGCACCTCCAGCATGACTCAGACTGGTCCTCTAAGCCCATGTGGCCTTGGATGTGTGCCTAAGGTCAAGGGTCCAGTGTACTTGCAAGCAGGCATAAGGCCAGCACAACAGATGGAGGCGGATGGGGATAGCCGACCAGCCGCATGGGGCCTGAAGAGTCAGTACCTAGGGAGTGATGGTGGTGTTTCACTCCCTCCCCCAAAGATGCTCCAGTACTCTGACACAAAGATGATGGCTTGTCACAGGAAAGAAACGTTGAAAGGATACTCTCTGCCTGCCCGCAGTCAGATACCCTCAGGTGTGGCATCAAGAAATAGAATCTCAGACTTCATCTGAATTAACCAGAAAGTCTCTGTTGGAGCAGAAAATAGAGGCTTTCCTAATTTAATAACCTCCTTCTTCTGGCTAAATCCTAAGGGTGGGAGGCGGTCTCAGCCATACGCCTTCCTCTCTTGTGTAGTAATCCCTTGGTGGTCCCATGGTAGATGAATACTGGGAGAGGCCGGGCAGCCCCCATCATAGAAAAATGCATTTTCAGGTTTCTCCTCTTCCGTGACTGCATTTCATCCTTTCTGTTTCTTAGCAGGTGTTTGTGCCACAAATCCCTGTATACTGTATACTCAGAGTTGCCTCAGTTGTCTTGGCCAGATGTCATTTGTCCTATTGTATGCTAGTCAACTTTCTATTGCTATAACAAATACCCGAAGTAAGTTTATTTTGGTTCACTGTTTTGGAGGCTTCAATCCGTGATTACTTGTCCTCATTTTGGGACATGTGGTGAGGCAGCACATATTGGTTGGAGCATCTGGTGAAGAAGGCAGACCCCAGCTTGACAGCTGGGAAGTAGAGAGGTCAAGGTCAGGGGACAGGGCTCTTCAAAGGCACGCCTCCAGTGACAGTATTTCCTTCAATTACACAGTTTTTTCTCAAGATTCTGCTAACTAATAATGTAACAAGCAGGGGGCTAAGACTTTTAGGATACCCTTATCTAGACCACAGCACCTCACACATGGGAAGGACTGTCCGCAGGGTTATGTTTGTTTAACCAGCAGCACGCTTGTCTTGCCAAGATGGCCGGAAGTGCTGAACTTCCAGTATGTACGTAGGAGCAATTCTAGGAGACTGAGTGGCAATCATGAGGGCTTGCAGATGGGGAAGGAAGAGAAAGGGACCGAGCAGATATGTGATGGTGCAGACTCTGCATGGAAAATGACACGCACCGTGACACACACCTGTTCTTCTCCATTCTAGGTAGCAATGAAGGAGGACAAGAAGGCAGGAAGAAGGAACCGACTGCCCTATTTTTTTTCAGATACTCTTCTACTCTGACCTGCATATCTGAACTTTCAAGACATGCTTCCTCCCTTAGAGAAGACGTCTTTCGATGGTATGCACTGTCTGTTAGGATGAGCAAAGAGCCTGTCAGTGGCAAACTGGGTGAGGAGCCGGCTCCCAGCCCCTGGCCTCTTCCAGCTGGAGGTTGCATTTATAAAACGGGTGTGGATGGAGAGATTCTTATGCCTCATTCAGGACTGTGCTCTTAGGCTCATTCCTTAGTTTCTCCTTAGAAATTACTGAACCAACCTTATCATTTGCTGGGTGCTATGCTTAGCACCTTATAATTGTGAACTCATTTAGTTCTCATAGCAACCCCTCTAATGTGGGTAACATTATCACCTACATTCTACAAGGTCACCATTATTTCAGAGTCCACAGCCTCACCCTGTAGTCTGGACAAGCCTTACCTACAAGGCTTTGTTTTCTATTCTGCAATTATAACTACCCAGGAATTCACATATCCTTGGGGCTTTCTCCTTATGAAGACTTGGTGAGGGGCTGACTTTTTTTTCTTTCTTTCTTTCTTTTTGTTTTTGTTTTTGTTTTTTGTCTCTCCCAGGAGGTACTACAGAGCAGAGTACCCATTTTGCACTTAGTGAATGCATTTTTCAACCACAACTCCTAGCCTCCACCAGCTGGGCCACTCTGTTCTCCATGGTCTAAGCTGTAGAAGAAACAGTTTTGACTTTTCATTTTGCATCCCAGCTGCTGTTCAGATCATTTGCCACACTCCTGGATCTTGGTACCCCGGCCTTCTCCTGCCTGTTTGTTATTGTAAGAAGTGGCTCTAGGGCTGCCAGCTAGGTGTGACCAACCTCTCTCGGGTCTGTTTGTTCCACCCCATGCAGCTACCCACTGCAAAAAGAGGTGCCCTTGAAAGTACCTCCTCCCTTAAGACTTATCTCCTGTGCCCTGGGAAGTTGCCTAGCAACCTCCCCCTTCTTTCTCTCCTTCCCCACGCTCTTGTGCAGCTCCATTCCCATTGCCATCACTCCAGCACCCACGCCCAGCTTCTCTTCAGTGTCATCAAGCCGTGCCTCTCTGCTTCAGTGGCCCACCATCCAGCTTCCACAGACTGCATTATAAAACAAACCTAGGCTGAGGCGTCCTTTCATTTCCTGACCTTGGACAGTTCTGAGAGACTCTTCACACCACCATTTTAATAGTAACCTCCAGGGCAAACTACCAAAGAAGGAGGCAAAAGCAAAAGCAAAACCAAGACAAAACACAAAGAAAGAAAACTCTCCCAAAACAAAAGACTGAAATTTCTTAAGGTGTGTACCCAAACTTCAGATAACTCTTTTTATCCCCACCTTAAAAAGTTGGACCATATTAGGCTATGGCAGGCAAGCTAGGTGGTGGCCTGAGGAGCAGTGTGCAGTATTATTACTTATTCTGGAACCAAGGCAGAGCTTTCCTCTGTTGCCCTCTTCACAATCTGGAAGAAAGGAAGATCCTCCCTTGTCTTGAAGGCCATTCAACAAGCATCATGGTAGTTTGGGGTATGTCTGCCACCATTTTGACTGCTATTGAGTAACAGACAGCAGGCGGTTCCTTGCCAAGCCCACCTCCTTACAGAGAAAGGTGGTCTCTTAGGGAGACAAAGAGTCACCCCTTCTTAACATCAGTCAGAACATCTGTTTGGCTCAGTCCTGACTTTTCAACAGCAAAATCTCACTCCTCTGCCATGAATTTAGATCTAACTGAATCTGCTAATCCAGGGCTTCATAGATGTCTCCACTTGCATGACCACTTTGTGCCTGGGAAGTTCTTATGTGACTCAATTCTTATAGACACATAAATAGGCACATAAATCAGACATTTGGCAGTAATAAATCATAAAGAAATTTACTTTAAAATAATTTTTGGGGGCTCTCGAAAGAGACCTCTTGGTAAAGTGCTTGCTTTGCAAGACCGAAGACCTGTATTTGATCCCCAGAAGCTGTGTACAGAAACTGGACATGTTTGTAATCACAGCCCTGGGGAGGAAGAGACTGATGGATGCTCAGGGCTCACTATCCAGCCTGCCGATCTATTTGGTGAGTTCCAGCTGGTCAGTGAGAAATCTTATCGCAGAAAATAATGTTGATAGCACCTGAGAAACCACAGCTGAGGTTGTCCTCTGGCTTCTAGATAGATTCACATGTGTGCACATAAACTTATACTTATGTACACATATGAGCTCTAGTTCTCTCTCTCTCTCTCTCTCTCACACACACACACACACACACCAATTATTCAGCATACACATAACGTAGAGTTTATTAAAGATTAAAGCAAATCTGCATTCTCCAGAGATGAATTCATGTGTTTTTGTTACATGAGAATGAACCTTGACTGAATGCTGTTGCTGTGGGATGAAGAAAATCTTCAACACTTTTCAGACTTGATCATATTTTGATATTATGATCTAAAATGCAGAGAACAGTGTTTTGCATGAATACATGGTGCAAAATAGAACAGACATGTCTAGGGCCTTTTCAGAAATTGTTAGAAATTCTTCTCAAGAACAAATGTATTCAATAGTTTAAAAAATTAAACACAAGGCAGCAACTCAAACAGCAATTTTGAAAATCAAACATTTGAACCTAATGCAATCCAAAGTTATACTGATTCGATACTTACATGCCAAGGGAGGGTTGTAGGAGAAAATCAAAAAGCCTTTGTCTTCTGTAATTAGGCAATTAGATTTCTGTAAGAGCAGAAGCTTGGTATGCACAGTGAAGCATCATAACTCGTGATATACAGCAGTCATGAATCTGAGCCAACAGGTTTCAGGTGACATTTTGTGTTTTCCTGACACACTCAGGGTTAAACGTGCATGTAGCATGTTGAGAACCAAGGTTGCAGTGAAGCCATGTGATGGGGCATGAGCAAGAGTCTGCCAGAAACACACCAGATTCAGACCAGGTTTTAGTTTAAATTAATTTTTGATTCCTGTGTGCTCAGAAGTCCTTTACTGGTCAAGTTTCTCATGAAACAAACTTTGAGTTGCATAACCCCATGTGGGGTCATGACCCATAGTTTAAGAATCTGAGGGCCAGGGCTGGAGAGTTGGCTCAGCAGTTAAGGGCACTATCTGCTCTTCCAGAGGACCTGGATTCAATTCCCAGTACCCACATGGCAGCTCACAACTGTCTGTAACTTCAAGATTTGACAGCCTCACACAGACAGGCATGCAGGCAAAACACCAATGCACATAAAATAAAAATAATACATTATTTTTTAAAAAAGAATCTGAGGGCCAAGGAGTTGGCTCAGTGGATAAGGACACTTGCCACCAAGCCCGACACCTTGGGACCCTGGGACCCACAGAGTGGGAAGGAGAAAAACAATTCCTGCAAGTTGTCCTCTGACCTCACATGCACACCGTGCCAAGTGTACACACAAAACTTAGCGATTCGTTCATCTAACAAAAAGGTCATGGATCTGGGCCCTAGATTATCATTTAGGAAAAAAATGGAGCATTACCATGACGCTCCTATCAGGAGGATGAGCTGTGCTGGGGGCAGACCTGTATTTTACCAAGACACATTCCATGACTTCTACCTTCCATGGCACATAATCCCCAAGGTGACAAGTTGCAAGTAGGGAAATGGAATTCAAAGGAACAAAAGTATTGTCGTTTTCCTCGGTGCTGAGAACTACAGTGATCCTCAGCTTCAAGAGTCCCTCTGGGACATTAAGCCCTGTGAGGTCTCAAGCTAGACTTCCAACTCTGGTCAGAGTCCTCAGAGGGATGAAAGGTGACTGGGGCCAGCACAGCTGTGCACTCCTCTGACTTGTGTCAAAGGAGAGAGGATGTTAGTCCCTTTGGGGACCACTCATGTATGGCTGTTTTGGTATGCACCACACAATCTACACAGTCAAACCAGAAAAGTTCTGGATCTTATAAATCTCATTATTCTTCAGTTGTCTTCACTCACCATTTCATCCTGTTTTCCCGGCCTTGAAATCTTTCTATTGGACAGGGGTGTTGCTCAGTTGTAGAATGTGTGCTTTGTATACACGGGATACCAGGTTCTATCCCAGCACTTTGGATAAAAACCAAAATCCAAAACAAAAAGAAATGTTCTATCTAAGCCAGGCAGTGATGGCACATGCCTTTAATCCTAGCACTCTGGAGACAGAATCAGGCAGATCTCCATGAGTTCAAGGCCAGCCTGGTCTACAAAGAGAGTAGCAGGACAGCCAGAGCTGTTACACAGAGAAACCTTGTCTCAGAAAACCAAAAGAAAAAAATAGAAGAAAAATGTTCTGTCTAAACAAGTAGTCCCATATAGCTACACTTGTGCCATAATGGAATTAAAAATCAATTCAAAATTGTTTTGGTGTGTATTGTCTGGTTTTGCTGAGGTTTTCTAGTAGAGAAGTCATAAAGGAGATGCAAGCAAGAATACATGCAGGCTTATCTGTCCCTGGCTGTACGCAGACTCCCTGGTCCTCTTCTCTATGGCCCATGTCTAGATCTAGGTTTGGTAGCAGAGATGCAGGAGCAAGCAGCAGGAGCAGCTGGACCAGGATCCAAAGAGAAGCATGCTACTTAATAATAAGAGTATTCAGCTTACTGCCTATTCTCATTGGGCTGCTTATGCCTTCTTATCTCTTAGGCTCAGGAGACTGGGTTCTGCTAAAATTGTTGCCACTATCCACACCGGGAGGACTGGAGGGCATAGGTGAGGCTGGCAGCATGATTGTGCACACAAATTTATGCCACTCGCAGAATTAATTCTTCACTGAGGTTTTGCATCCCTGCAGCATTTCTTTCAAGGTTTAAATGCTGGGTGTTGGAGACACTGCTACATGGTCCAAGACTAGGGAGTACTGTCACATCACTCTGGGAAAGGTTAGACATACTATTAACATTGTATTATTATTATGTGGGTACTAAATGCCAGACCCCTAGACAAATGCTCTGTGTCGTCCCACACCCCCAAATTTGGTTTTCATTACAACCCTGCAGTTGCCCCTACTGCCTTCCCCATTGCAGATGACGAAACAGAGGTTCTTGGAGCTGAAGGAACCTTTGTTGCTGGTGATTTTCCAGATTTCAGAGATGGAAAGCCTTCTTCCAAACAAGTTTAGCATTAACATGGTGTGATTACTGCTGGGTTTCCAATGCTCACAAAGAATGGGAAGCCAGAGAGACAATAGTCAGCTACTCTTTTTGAGTCATCTGAAAGCTATCTTTGATTACAATAGAGACATAGAACTATTAAGCGCCTATAAAAGAGCAAGCCTTCTGAACTCAAGACCCAACAGTACCGACCAATCATATTAGCATTTGAATTAGACTCTATAAGACAATTTGTTATTCTTCCCCAGGGGTTGCTTTACAGAACTGGGAGATTGAACATTGAACCACCTAAGGAGTACCACTGGGTGGATTAAAGACATGGAAGATGTATCATGCTTATTTATCTGCCAGCGACTTTTTGGCAGACAGCAGCACAATGTTTTGATGAAGGAATACCTTGTTCTAACTCATAGGAAGGTGCCATATGGTCTGCCGGTGACTTTGTTACTCCTCTTGATGGAGAAAGCAGCTGGCTCAGTGGTAGGGAAACCCTGACATGGGACATAAGTAGATGAGATGTCTGTAGAGAGAAGGAAAGACTACTTGGATTCAAAGCTTGCTTTACCACTTATGGTTCTACATATGTCCCTTTATTGATAAACTTGGTTTCTTATCTATCACAAGAATGAGAACCATAGTACCAGCATCTAAGTGTGTTGTTTTACTTGTGTGTGTGTGTGTGTGTGTGTGTGTGTGTGAGCACGTGTGTGTGGCTGGCCTTTTGTTAGTCACAATGTTAAATCAACCACTTCACTATAGATATTATTAATCTACTGTCACATTGTTATAAATGAAAAAGATTCTATGTTGAAACTAGGGTCCTTGGTTGGCAATGTGCCAGGACCAATTTGCTCATGTCTTTCGGTCAACCCATAAATAAGAAAATGACTTTCCAGTGCTTCAACTGACCAAGAAGTTCAATGTCATATCAAGGGTATCTATGACAAGGTCCAGAACATCTGGTGCCAATACCCAAGGCTTCAGAATGTTCAGTGTTTGCTATGATAAGACTCTACAGGGTCACAAGAAGACAATGAATACATGGTGGTGGGATTCCCATGCATTTCTTCACTTCTTCAGCCTCTGATCAGCTTTGTACTCTGTGGTAAGCACTCCACTCAGCCAGGAAGCAATAGTGAATTCGGGAATAAAATTAGATGTGTCAAGTAGACCGAAATGGCCAATTCCTAGATACCATGTTGTAGACCACCAAGTCTTTCTCAGGTGACTATTCTGGGAAAGGATTCAGGTTGAAGGAACAGATTGCCCTCCACATTCCCTCCATCTGTGCTTTCTGCGTCACCCTCAATGTCCTCTCCTCATCCACACCTAGCCAGATCAAGAGGAACAAGTATAAGGAAATTCTCGGGATGGACAAGCAGAAGTCCCAGTCAAGTCATCTCTGTCAGAAAGCGCTGAGTCAACATGGCCAAACCACAGGACAGGAGGGGCTGTGAAATCAGTTTGTGTAGCTGCTGGTGACCTCCACAGGACAATCCCAGGTGTCAGGACCATGTCATAAGATGACCAAGAATTGTTGGCCATGGAAACAAATGTTAAGCAAACAGTAGAAATTGGGGCTTGGGGGCTGGGGATGTAGTTTGGTCTGATCAGGGAGCTGGCAGGCACAAGCCAGAAGGCCCCCATATCTGTGAACACAATGAGTAAGTGTTGTTGGTCACCCAGGGAAAATTCCCATCAGCTGTTCCTGCCACCAGGATGCATTTGTGACAACTTTAGATGGGGCCAGCCATTGTCCATGACTTAATCCAGGTCCTTCTGAATGCACTTCAGCTGTGCCTTCAATGGGCAAAGGGTATTTAGTGGTGCTGAAGGGAGATGGATGTGACTTGGAGTGACACATCGGTGCTTAGGCCTTTGATGGTCCATCACTCAAGCTTATGAGGAAAGCTGTTGACTCATCTGGGTCTAAAATATGACAGTTATGACAATCACAGCTTGCCATCTGTAGAGGCCACTCTTCTAGAGTGACCCTAAGATCCTCACCCCTTAGTACAAACACCATATGCCCTCTTTTTGAGAGTGCTTGGGGGACATGTTGCCATGATGGACAGTGGCTCCTAGAATTAATTTGTGTTAAATGGCAAAACTGCTAAGTTATGAACTTGGCTCTTAAATGTCACAAAGGCCCACGTGTAAAAGGCTTGGTTGCTGGCCTGTGATACTGTTGGGAGATGACAAAGCCCTTTAGGAGAT